TTATGGGTCTCCACTCCTATGTGACTGATCTCCTTGTGGTCACAGGTGGGTCTAACTTGTTATAGCATCCCCATCACCCACAGCACAGGGCCAGCTACATCGGGGCACCCGATAAACACTTCATGCATGAGTGTGACAAGACCATAGACTCAGATGATCCAGCAGATGGTTGTGACAGCGTGTAGCTCTTTACCTGTCTTTGCCTGAGCATAGGAATTTACATGCTCTTCTTGCTGCAGCTGTTGGATAAGGATAACAAGAGATGCTGATTTTAATTTCCCGTGTCTGCCTTTCTCTATTCAGCATCTTTGGGGCCTATAGCATGGATGTGATTACCAGCACATCATTTGGAGTGAACATTGATTCCCTCAACAACCCACAAGATCCCTTTGTGAAAAATATCAAGAAGCTGTTAAATTTTAATATATTTAATCCACTCATTCTCTCAATAGGTATGTGGACTACTATATTTATTTTTTTCTCCCTCCTCCCTTTCTCCTTTTTTCCTCCCTCCTCCCTCCATCCTCCACCTACTCTCTCTCCTGCTTTCTATAAAAGCTTTATTGAGATATAAGTCATATACTATAAAATTCATCCATTTCAAATGTACAGTTCAATTGCTTTCATAACCTAGTGTTCATCAACAAATAAATGCATAAAGAAAATATTATATATATATATATATATATATTCATACACATACACACACACACACACAAAATGAAACCAAAAAAAAAAGGAAATCCTCCCATTTGAGACAACATGGATGGATCTTGAGGATATTATGCTAAGTGAAATAAATCAGACAGAGAAAGACAAACACTGTATGATCTAACTTATATGTGGAATCTAAAAGAATACACAAACTCATAGAAAAACAAGAAATGATTTTTGGTTATCAGATGCAGGGGTTGAAGGCGGGGAAATCAGATGAAGTTGGTCAAAAGGTAAGAACTTTCAGTTATAAGATAAATAAGAGTGTAGATTCTAAAAGTCCACATAACAAGGAAGAAAAAACTTATTGTAACTCTATGAGGTTATTTATATTAACTAAACTTGTGGTAAATTTTTTGCAATATATGTATGTTAAGTCATTGTGCTGCATACATCTTAAACATATACAGAACTGTATGTCAATTATAACTCAATAAAACAGAAAAAATGGTTTTACTACATTCAAAGATACATTCAACTATCACAATATCAATTGTTAGAACATTTTTGTCAATTTAGAAACCATGTACCTTTTAACTTTCACCTCCCACTCCCTAAGCAACCACTAATCTACTTTCTGTCTGTATAGATTTGCCTATGCTAGACTCTTCATATAAATGGAGTGACATAATATGTAGTCTTTTGTGGCTGGCTTTTGTCATTTAGCATAATGTTTTCAAGGCTTATTCATGTTGTAGCATTTAACAATACTTCATTTCTCATTGTGGCTGAACAGTATTCCATCATATGGACATTCTGCATTTTTTTTGTCCACTCATTAGTTGATGGACATTTGGGTTGTTTCCACTTTTGGCTATGTGAATAGTGCTGCTATGAACATTCACGTACAAGTTTTTGTTTGAATACCTGTTTCAATTCTTTTCAGTTTCTTTTGGTTTTGATTCAACCACTCAGGGTTTGGAATTGCTGAATTATATACTAATCTGCATTTACCTTATTAAGGAACTGCTAAATTTTTT